CTCTCTCTCTCTCTCTCTCTCTCTCTCTCTCTCTCTCTCTCTCTCTCTCTGTTGTGTGTGTGTCTATGTCTGGGTATGCATGTGTACTGATGCCCAATGTAGCACCAAAGTAAATGAGGTTTGGAGCCAGTATCCTGTCTGCAAATCCTAACTCCACCACTTACAAACTTTTGATCTGGACAGGTCAGCATTTTCAGCCTGTTTCCTTATCTTTAAAACAGGGAAAGACTGTTGTGAGTTAAATGAGATAAACATGTAAAGTACTGGGCCTGGTGGTTAGCAGATTGTCGGCTCCATAAGTGTCCAGAGATTGTGATAGTGACAGCGAGGCGTCTGGTGTGATCAGTTGCAGGACCCCATGGCTGCAGGGCTGGGCATGTTCACTCTGACTCACTCAGCTCTGGCCAGGCTGTGCCCTTAAACAGTTGTAGGGCAACACTGGAGCCCTTGGGCCTTCAAAGTCCGTGGCTCCAGGGTAGTGGCTCCTTTTTGGTCTCTGTGCTGGCAGATGGTGGCTTATGCTGCTGGCTTCTTCTAAGGTTTATAGAGCCAGCAGAAAAATTTTTCCTTCCTACTTAGTCCTCCGGGTCACTTCTTACCTGCCTCCCTGGGGTTCATCTTGTTCCCTGCTTCAAACCTGTTAGCACAGCTTTGGCTCACGCCCAGGAGACCTTCCAGTCCTGAGAAGATAGAGTGACCTTTCTCAAGAAACTAACACAACATGAATGAAGTCTGCCCATGATCATGACACTACTTTGCTACCTGGGTTTAATTCCCTGTATACCATGTTCCAATCTGGTTTCGTACATGCCTCAGGATCAAACACTTGGCTACATGACTCCACAGTCCCAACTGCAGATTTGGGATTAAAGGACAACCTGGACTTTCCCAGAAGTCCTTGAGGTCAGAGGGAGGTTTTTATTTGCCTTCAAAGTGTGCTTGAACACAGTCAACCCAGATTTCCATCCGTGTGTGGAGAAGTGAGTGACTCCCTGACATCCACAAAATGTGGACAGGACACTGAGCTTCACTCACCTCCTCCACTGTGTGTCCCATAGGAGGTGATCAGGGGTAAAGCATACTTGGGAGGGCACAAGTTTCTTTGAGCAAGATCAGACAATGTGGGCATTGAAAGCCCACTGAGAGGTCTTTGGACATCCCTTTCTTTCCCAAACCCTGATGGTATTGCCTGGGCCATTCTGGGAAGTTTGCCCATGACACAGAATAGATGTCACTGTCCCACTCTATGAACTTTGGCCAGGCCACTTTCATCTCCAGGTAACACTGACCTGACCAGGAGTTACTGGTTGAAAGACGACAGCATGCAAATAACAATTGGCTTGTTTGGAGGCACAGATCCCGAAAAAACACTTGCCAAATCAGCAACTGGCTTTGTCAACAAAAATCTGTATTCTATTCCTTTACTCTCCAGGGTAAACAATAAATTTTCTTATATTCTTCTAAGTTTGCAACATAAAAAATCTAGGATTTTCATTACAGATAGGTGTTCTAGAATGTCAAATAACTTTTTCTGTGCCAACTGACATAGTCAAATGTTTTTTTTTCTTCTTTTTAATGTGAAGATGATGAATTACAGATTGATTTTTCAAATGTTAAATTGATCCTGTATTTACAGTACAAACTGCTTATGATATATTATCTTTTTCATAAATTGGGAATAAGAGAACTTTCTCAACCTGATAAAAGGCATCTGGAGAATTTGCAGCTCACATTAATACTCAAGCATGAAGACTGAATATTATATCTCCTAAGTTCTGGAGCAAAGTAGTGGTATCCATTCCTATCATTTGTATTCAACACTGAATCTGAGGTCCCAGTCAGTGCAGTAAGGGGGTTGAGGAGGGACGGAGCATACAAGTTGGAAAAAAAAGAAGCAAAACTGCTTCTATTTTCATCCTAAGGAACTTATAGAATAAAAGAACTACATAGCAGGCTTAGTAAGATTATATTAGTAGTTGATATAGAAAACTAACTGCATTTTATGTGTTATTTTATATATTAGGCCACCATTTAAATTTATAAAACAATGCTTTTTCTAATATCAAAAATCTGAAATATTTAGAAATTTAATAAAGTATTTGCAAGGCATTATGAAAACTGTAAAATATTAAGAGAATTAATGAAGGCCTTAAATAAATTGAGATATATACCATGTTCTTTGATTATTAAGAAACTAGTTTTCCTCATATCTATAGATTGAATGCACTTCCAATAAAAATCTAGCAATCTTTCTTATTAAAAAATCTAGGATTTATTGCTTGAGAATTACCCACTTATGATTATTAAAGCAACATAATTTTCATAGTGACTACCCTAGTGATTATCATCATCAGGAGGCTGACACAGCTCTGCATTGACTCAAGTTTGTACTGTTGTGTCAGTTAGCTCTCCATCACTATAATAAAATGACTGAGGCAGTTGATTTATGGAGAGAAAAAGGTCATTACAGTTCATGGTTTGAGAGGTTCCTTTCCTTGGTTGGTTGGCTCATTGTTTTGGGTGTTTGGCGAAACAGTACATTATGGTGGGAGTGCATGATAGAGGAAAACTGCCCACCTCATCAGCCAGGAAGCAAAAGGGAATAAGGAAGGGTTAGAGTCCCACTATTCCCTTTGAGGGCATGCCCCCCTGCAATGACCTAAGTATCTCCCTAGGCCCCACCTCTCAATAGCATCACTGTAGGGATCAAGCCTTTAACACATGGGCCCTTTGGGGGACACTCATCCAAGCCACAGCAACCATATGGCTTTAGAGCTCCTCTCAGCTCACTCATGCTCCCCAGGTGTGGGTAGGTGTGGCTTTCAGGAGTGACTGATTGAAGGACGGGTTGTGGTAAAATCCTCCTTGTTTGGAGACACAGATGTTGGAAAAACACATGTCCTGAACTTGCTTTGTCACCCAAACCCAACAAGGACAAAACATCCTTTTTTTCTTTTATTCTCAAGGTAAGCAATAAGGAAATTCTTTTGTATACACACACATATATTTTTCACACATATACACAGTTTTCCTTTGTAAACTATTTCAGGGTGAGTTACATACATGGCTCTTCACCCCTAAATACTTCCAAATGCATTTCTTGAGACTAGGGATACCGTCATATGCAACCATAGCAGAGTTGTCAGCTTAAAACATCTAAACTGATAATAGTTAAATCTACTCTCTAATAATGTTTTCCTTTATAGCATTTTCTCCCTTAATCTGGAACATTTTCATGGTCTTTATTCTTTAATGCCACTGACGGTTTTTAAGAGGATACCACTTTACTTCCTTAAAAGAGCATTTCCTTATGAGCATATTGAAGTATACTAACCTTGGCTAGGTCTCTTTCCTATTCATAAGGCTTATCTTTTTTTCCATGAAGAGCAATCATTCTCCTGAGCTTGTGACCTTCTATCCTTGTTTTATTTGTTTGCTTTTAGTGTTATTCATTCATTCATTGGGTTGGGGATCAACCCCAGGGCCTTGTGTATGCTAGACAAGCATTCTACCATTGAGCCACACCCCCAACCCACAGTTTTTCAGTTGAGGTCTAATTTGTATTCAGTAAAAGATGTAGCTCTTGAGTGCGTGGTTGCTGAGTTCTGATGAGTTCTGACAGCTGTGTGCACATGTATGACCACACCTAACCTGAAAATCACTTCCTACACTTGAAACAAACTATTTTGGTTACAGCTCACTTAGTAACAGCTAAGATTCCACAGCCGATCACCCTCTCCTGATTCTCAGGGTGAAAGAACTCTGTGATACTCAGGAGCTGACACTCACCCAGAAGAAAATCTCTGAAGAGGCAGTTTTTACTGTCCATCTACACTGGCAATAGTGGTGAATGACTCATAGTGAGATCTCAAATCACAACTTCATCAAAGTTAGTCATCATTATTTTATGTCCAAATAAAAATGCATGGCGTGGCTGGGGCTGTAGCTCAGTGGTAGAGCACTTGCCTAGCACGTGTGGGGCACTGGGTTCAATCCTTAGCACCACATAAAAGTAAACAAATAAAATAAAGCATGCTGTCCATCTACAACTAAAAAAAATTTTTTTAAATGCATTGCAACCATACCATTGGTTAGGTTCAAGGTCACAAACTAAAATAATAATGAATTTACACTAATTCTTCTTTTTAATTCAGTAGCAATAGTTGGAGCAATAAATATCCTTGGCCAGGTCAAGCTATCACTTCTGATAAATGAACAAGAGAGTCTTCTTCTAGAAAGCAGCAGTATTTCCCAGGTGCTCCATGGTCTGGAAGGTATGGCCCAGGACCCTTGGCAGGTAACCACAGGAAAGGGCTGAATCAGAGATTTGCTAATTCAATTAAAATAAAATTGTGGACCAATTTTAGTTTGGAAAATTTTTAGAAGGTAGCTCTTGGAAATTTGCACAACAAAAGTCTATGGACTTGCATGTCAGTTGTCCAAGGACCCCGGGGAAGGTCACAGGATGCTAGAAGCTCACATGGACCACTGTCTCCAACCTCTTCCTCAGGGCTTGGTTTCAGGGCACATGTGTGTGTGAAAGGACTGACATAAAATTTATCTTCTTCTA